TGATTTTGGAGTGATTCTGGCCCCTTAAGGAAATAGTGATTTTGGAGTGATTCTGGAAGGGTCTCCAGAATCACTCCGAAATCACTATTTCCTAAGGAAATAGTGATTTTGGAGTAATTCTGGCCCGTTAAGGAAATAGTGATTTTGGAGTGATTCTGGAAGGGTCTCCAGAATCACTCCAGAATCACTCGTAAATCACTATTTCCTAAGGAAATAGTGATTTCGGAGTACTCCAAAATCACTATTTCCTAAGCCCTCCAGAATCACTCCGAAATCACTATTTCCTTAGGAAATAGTGATTTCGGAGTGATTCTGGAGGGATTGCGGGGGAAGGGTGGGGAGGCGGAAGGATAGTGATTTCGGAGTGATTCGGGATAGTGATTTATTAGTGATGCGGTTTAGAGGCTCCCCCGCCATAGTGATTAATTAGTGATGCGTCCTGGAGGCTGCCCTTCGGGATAGTGATTTATTAGTGATGCGGTTTGGAGGCTGCCCCGCCATAGTGATTCATCAGTGATGCGTCGTGGAGGGCCCCCCCGCCATGAGCAATTAGTTAGTGATGCGTGTTGCAGCCTCCGCCGCCGAAGTGGGGTGTGTCACTAAGAGACTGACGGTCTGACGTGCACAGATAACTTGCGTCGCGCCCGACATCACAGTGCAATTGTTCCCCCAAGGACCCAATGCAAGCTGCGAATGATCGGTGCACCGGGTTATATTGCCTTACCAAGCAGCACTAGTATTCAGGCTAAGGCTTATAAGGCACTTTGCAAAACCCAAAACCCTTGTTCGGGCGTCTACGCTAGAACCTTTACGCTTTGGGTCCGAGGCCTCTAGCTCAAGACACAAAAAAGTTGCCGTGTAGAACCGTCTGTTTATGCATAGCTCCGAACGGAGCTCAACGCAGAGCTGTCCCTAAAAACGTAGGTAAAAAACACTATCCCGAATCATTCACAAATCACTATTCCATCACTAAAAAATAAATCCAGCTTCTCCAAGCTTTACCACTCAAAGAATCTCTTAATTGTACTACTTGGGGCGAGGCCTGCGTCGCGATTTTCGCCTCGTGACACTGCGTTGGCCAAAGTTCCTTTTGCCTATGGAACGCCGCCAGGGTGCCGTCCGGACCTTCTTCGAGGACGAGCCACCGCGATTACATGCCACAGTTCTCTTGGACGGAACACTTTGACTGAGCTTTGCGCCGGAACACAAACCGGACGCCCAAGGAACTCGATCCGACCCCTCCATGGGTGTCTGGAACGTCACCCGCTACCTCGATTTCAACAAGAAGTCATTTCCGAAATCAAACAGCTCGTGCGCGGATGGAGGAACACACAGTTCCAAAACTTGCCACCACATGTACAGCGTGCTTACCAGCACAAAAACTCGGTAACCCAGATCCCTATTCTGATCCACCTACTACAACTACTACTTCGTTACTCACGGACCGAGGTCCTGTACCGCGAACTCTCTGAAGGATTCCCCCTGATCGGGAAACTTACCCGAGGAGTCAATTGGCGCATCCGACAAGACCGGGAATACCGCGAACCAACGCCCATCGAAGAGTTCCGATCGAAGAACCGCGAGTACACCTTCGTTATACTCGAGAAGAACACGGTTGACGACCGTGGGGAATTCATGCTAAACGACATCCTCGGCGAAGTCAAGTTGGGATGCATGAACGGCCCTTTCGCGGACCCAGATTGGTGGCCAAAGCAATCGGTGGCTCCGAGTAAATGTGAACACAAACGTGTTCTTCCTTTACCGCACGACGACCCGTTCATCGCTATGGCCTTCAGCGTCGAGCAGACCGGCAGCGGTGGCAGAACCAAACTTCGCCGAGGCGAAGACTGGAGACGCAGCGGCCACAACTCGACGTGCGTCAAGTGCGACCAGCCTTTTCACCGCACTGGACCACTTCGTCTCCCTCGGATTGGCTTTCCGCGACCACGATGGAGCTTACCGACAACTTCCCCAACGCGATCCACGACAAGCAGGTGTACTCCGGCTTATTCCGGAAGGACCCATATTGTGCGTCTTGCTATTCGGCTCAGCGGCGAGCGTCTGGTCCTACAATCGATTCGGCGATGTGCTGGTGGCACGCAATCGGAGACATTGGCCTTAGTTGGTACTCGTTCGAGTCGGTGTGCTGAACCCTTGCGGTTGTGCTAGGTCCAATGTGCTGCAACCAGACAATTGAGCGGTTGGTGTTTGCCCACGCCCGTGATGAGCACATGCCTGGATGCCTCGTTGTCGCAGCACTGTATGTCGAGCAGGTCTTGCCAAGGCTCACAGATCTTCGGGGCCGAGATCGCGGCCGAGGCCTCAATCAAGTAGATGAATGCCTGGTCGGAGGAAAATTGACGACCTAGTACCGATGGTAAACGTCCTTGGAAGCAGGCCGCTCGTCGCACGTCACCTTGGTGGAAGCAAGCGGCGGCCCATCCATTCTCGATGTTGGTAGTCTTGGCGGAGCTCCAACTGAGCAGATCATCATCGGCGGTAGACCTGTTGTGCCAGCTTGAAGTAAGCATCCGTGTAGATGACGCTGGAAGTCTTGGCCACCAGGTTCCTTGGTAATGTCATCGGTCGGCAATGTTGGATAATGTCCTCCAGTGCGAGTAGGGACGAGCGTGTCGGTTTGTCGATTGCGAGTGTGTTGGAGAGTTGGCTCTGGCATACAGAGCTTTCAAAGGAGCACAGCCCACTTTTCCAAAAGGTCTAGCTGTCAGGAAATTGCCCTTGCCCACCATCTTTGTGGCCTCATCCGGTGACAAAAAATCGTTGTTGGCAAGGTGCTTGGCGATCTGCTGGGGCATCGTCTTGACTCGTTGTGGACACGGCGTGGGGCTCGAGTTGTCGGGGTCCGACGATATAAGGACTCCTTGAGTTCGTTGTTGCATGTCGGGAGGTTGTCGCTTACTTGGTTTCCTGGATATCTCGAAACATCCGTTGTAGCCCTCAGTCGATTCGATTCGAGGACATCGATGAAGCCCAACACTAGATGAACATCGAAGAACCCCTTCACACACTACGAATAAACCTACGAAGATAATAGCTTAATCTTACAGCCACTACTGGCTTTTCCGATGTGCCGGCATCGATGGGATACATCGAGCCCTTCAAAAGTTCAAAAGAGAGACCGGTAAGGTCTCGTGGCGNNCGATGGGAGGACGCGACCACCACCGATGGGAAACAGTCGGTCCTCCTGGCATCCAAAGAAAATTTCTTTATGAAGTGCGAGTGAAACTTTCGATGAGCCTGTTTAGACTGCGAAGAGAGTCAGAATTGCGGAATACGCCATTGAAGCGAAAGCAGTTGGAAAAAGGAGCGCGTAGCAGGGATCTATGCTGAACCGGTGAAAGCTTTCATTGTCGTGTAGCACACTTGTGTGCGAAGTGACAACTCATTGCCTTCATCAATCACCGATCGACTCCGCGGATGTACATGAGCGGATTGCTTTGAACTTGATACATTCCGTTGCCATTGTGGTATAAGAGCCGAATCGAAATTTGGCTTCTCCCTTCTTCCCTAACCCTGATGAGGCGCTACACTTTTCCTTTGCTTTCATTCTGCGAGACCCGACAGCTGACATCCAAAGGGAATAATTTCTGTATGAAGTGCGAGCGAAACTTTCGATGAACCCGGTTAGACTCCGAAGAGAGTCAGAAGCGCAGAATACGCCACCGAAGCGAAAGCAGTTGGAAAAGGGAGCACAAAGGAGGGATCTATGCTGAACCGGTGAAAGCTTCGTTGTCTGCATAAGGTTTTCGTGTCGAAAACAGATGTTCACTGTCTTTTAACATCCTGATTTACTGTTTATTTCCTCTATGGCGGTTCTAGCCTTGTAGTGCACATCAGAACCGTAATTGTGTTGATGCTAGCAATACAATGTTAGAATTCTTGCGTATCCTCAGAAAGCCGTGCCAGTACAAGGTCAATCGCTAGTTCAGGGTTTGCGTTGTGCGTGTTGCCTCTGCCTGGCGTGATGAGTCTGGTTCTGGAAAGTGAAGCCCTTTCCTATTGTGGCATATCTTGGCGTGGTCCTCCGTTGAATTCCATTGAGGTTCCTCCGCCTCCTGCTCCGAAGGTGAACAAGAGGCGCACTTCCGTTTGTTTGGCTGCCTTGCATCGTTCAGTGATTCATGCGGCAGCGACGTCAAGCTTTGGCCCGAGGCCCAAGGCAGCATCTCCGAAAAAGGCACTTTCCAGGGTGACTATACCATGACACAATATGTCCTCGACTTCAGTGCTGATCTGCTGCAGTGTAGGTCAAAAAGACGATTGCTGCGGTGCCACCTGCCGCAATCGCCTCATCCGTCGGACAAAAAACGGTGGTGGCCATTCAGTTCCGTTAGAGGCGAAAGCCAAAAAAGTCGCGACAGCTGAACCAAGCTTTCCGGCTGCGCGCTAAGTGTGGTGGCTGCTTTATGGCAACATGATTCCTGTTTTCGAACCGAGGCGAAGAACAAGAAAGCATCTGCAGAGCCTATGCCGGTGCGCCGGCAACAGAGGGGGAGAGTGTTGTTTCCAACGCGTGTCTCGTGGGGAACTTCTCAGGCGAGAGTTGTCAGCCAAGACTTCTATGGGCCTCTATGGGTTCTGGTTCAGATTGTTGGAATCGAGTGAATAGAGTTGGTATGCCAGAGCCCGCCCTTGAAGAAGCCTACACGGCTTATGAAACCTGAAGCAGGGAATGTGCTGCTAATGCAGCAGCTTCAAGTAAATCACATTAGAAATCCAAGTATCGCTCAAAGAGATCATGCCTGCAACTTGACGTAAGCAAGACCGGCTGCATCGTTTCCTGCATTCGTTTGTCCTGACGGCAAGGCGAAATCAAAAAAGGCTGTGGACGTTGAGCCCAAACCCGCCTCTGTTCTGGCCGGAGCCTCGTCGCAAGCCTATTGATTGCCATTTTTTCTCAATTTGGCGGTAATTGCTGCCGTCATTCTGAGTAGACTTGTTCCACAATGATGAATGTCACGGCAGCTGTAAGTTGAAAATGCCGACGAAAGCTGCATTTGCCAGTACCTTCAGTCTCCAGGCCCCAGCCCTCGCCAGCAAAGCTAACTCCAGGATGAGACAGCAAAAAATCCAAGCCTCATTTATTTCGTCTGCCTGAAGCAGAGAGGTGCAGCCTCCTGCTGCCCCTGCTGCGCCGCAGCTGTCGCAGCCGGTTGGAAGCCGATGTTTCGATTCGTTTCGGCGGCGGGAGAGTTTCAGAGCTGCTGAGGAGCTCTCCGAGCTGGACCAACTGGGCCTCCAGGCAGAGACGCTGCTTTGTGCCGCGGCGCGATTTCGCTGCTTCGTCGGCTCGCAGGAAGCCGTTTTGGAGCGGCTTCGCTCACTTTGCGACAAAGATGTCGAACCCAAGGTCCGGTGAGCTGTTGGGTGCGAGAGTGGATCTCCCAAAGTGCTCCTGTTCAGGTTCTGGCTGAATACATCGTAGTTCTGGCACAGATGAACAAAGGCCGTTGTGCTAGCCATGACATTCGTGTCGTCCCTGCATATGTTCTAGCTGGCTGTTGTGTTGGCACAGGCCCGGAGCACTTGTCGGGTGAGTTGGAAGCTTTCTTTTCGGACAAGGCCTGACCCGAATTCCGCTAGGCCGCTAGTGCAAAGGGGTACGAGGTGGAGGCGCCAAACTAGTTGAACATGTTCGCTGGTGATGCCAGTTGCTGTGGATTGCAGGCTTCGCTCCACTCGTTCGTGCGATGGGTGGAGGACATTCGGGTGCAAGTCAGAAGTCATGAGACTGGTTCTGAAGATTGCAAGGACTGCAAGTATTCGTTTCTTCCTGGCGGACAGCCAAAGCCTCAACTGGGAAACTTTGAGGAAGAATGAGATGAGAGAAGGTTTCAGGCTTTTTGAGGCTGTGAGCTGTTTTTGAGAGGGTCAGGAGTCGCAGCACAGGCTGCATACATGAACATACAATTTCACCTTCACTCCAGACCGTCTCACCGCAGGCCTGCAAAGCATCGGAACACGCCGATGCCCAATGGCAAAGGCTGGAATCTGTTCAATGGTCTTTCACGTCGAGCTTGCTCCGAATATGTTTCCTCAGGTTCGCAGCCAGCTGACTTTTGGGGCAGCTTGGTCTGCAATATCATTAGTGAAGCCAATGCTTTGTCGTATTTGGAACCTGCAGCCAAGGTCCAGCCCCTGACACATCGAACGGATCGCGCTTGGCAAGCAAGACCGCCGAGGCCACACAGACAAAGGAGATCCGAGAGTGAGCACGATGTGCTTCAAGGCTTCGCCTGTCGGACCAAAGACTGTCCGTCGTGGCAACTATGGCACTGGTTGCCTGGCTCAGATGCACCACTTCTGCGATGGTTGCATGTCGTGTCCTGGTCCTGTCTCTGAGGTCCTCATGTGGCGGTCACTAGCCGGGTGGTGCTGCAGCCCAACCCCAACTTCGATGCCGGCCCCGTGAAGGCTACGCTGGGTGGGGCATCTTGCGCATTCCCACCCTTGCGTTTGTTTGCGCCTGTTGCAAGTTCACGCAGGCCCCGACGAGTACGTCAGTCTCGAAGGCCGCGGGTGTACTAAATCTACAACCGAGCGATGTGTTCCATGTTGAACCATGTTGTGCTTCTTGGCTCAGGTTGCTTCGAAGGTGGAGCTCTCATCTTGGGTGGATGATTGAGAACGAATTGAGTGGTTGAAGATGCCCAGGCACAATCAACGCGCTCTGTACAATTCACTATGCCACCGGTGCACACTGCTGAAGCCCAGAAGGCCGAGGGCTTTGATCATCCGCTTCGGAACGACTTCGTCGCGGTTTGTGTCTTGCCTTTCCGCAGCAGTGTTCTGTATTCTCCCAACAGCGAACTGTTGGGATTCTACACCAGCTGCTAGCTTTGCTCAGAGAATTAGATGTGAGGCCATGCCTTCCTGGGTGTCCGTGTTGTCTCGCTTCGCATTTTCGGGTATTGAATTTCCTATCCTTCACTATTCTCTCGTCTCTCTACATAATCTCCTCATCTCTTCTCAGCCCGGAAATCGGCTCTTATGACAAGTAACGTTGCTGGACGGCGACCCTTGTCCCTCCCTTCGACATGTGGTCTGGCTCGGCTCTTTATATATATATATATATATACAGATATAGATATAGATATAGATATACATATAGATAGATAGATAGAATGAATATACACACACACACAGACATACTCCGCTTAGATTTCACAAGTGGTATCCGGTTCAGCGGCAGCTTGTTAAGTTTTCACCGTGTCGGGTGTCGGGATGGGGCTGGTGCAGTGATGGAGGTTCTGCTTCACCAACGCATGTTAGCCAGAAGGGACAGGAACGTGAATGGCCGGAGGGCTCGGGCTCCGCGCCATCAATGCATACTTCCTCGAAGCTCCCAACTTCCCTTCCATGGTGTTGTGGTTTGACCTTCTCCCTCGGTACTGTGCGCATCTCGAAGAGGCACGAGGGCAGGCTAGGGCCGCTAGGGATGTCTGCAGGTTCATCTGCTGGGAGACTTGACCAAAACCCTGCAGTCCTTGCCTCGGTGTGCGTTCGTGTTGCGATGGCCAGCTGACCCCCCGAGCCAGGACAATTCTGACAAAATTGCAAGACAGAGAGCTGCCTGACAGTCAGCGAGAGCAGCCGCAGTCCCAGCCGTTTCAGCTAAAGTATCTAGACATGAGAAGCCCCGACGGTTTTTTGAGGTATCAGGCCATGGCTGACAAGATCCACCTCCGGATCAAGGCCATCAATCTACCCGGTGCAGCTCCCGCCTTAATTTCTTCACTGCCACTGCCTCTGAAGCACAAGTCGCCGACCGGGCCGCCTGGTTTGTACGACACGACACGCGTGCCTAGGCCCGCCGTCGCTGACTGTCGCAGAGTACGAGTTACATCGGTCACACCATGGAGTCTGAGCAGGTCACGAAATCACAGGTCACAGGTCTACCAGGTGTTTCACCTAGGCGATCACAGTCCGCTATGGATTTGGCAAAAAGGGCTTCAGGGCATCCTGCTAACTCCAGCCGAGAAATTGCCATAATGCTCAGTGTACCTCCCGCCAGGACCACCAAAGCAATGCATGTTCTATTGTTATGAGTTGGCTCGAGTCGGCTTAGAGTCGGCCACGGCTTCTGCCAAGTTGTTTGACCAAAAGTATGCCTGGCGCTGAGTGCGAGCGAGTCCGCCAGACGTCGTTCGATCCTCCCGCTTCCAAAGGCATTCCGTCTTTCAGAGTCTTTCCGAGCTGCACAGGCATGCGCCCCAGCTCAAGTGTCTATCTCCGAGTACTGACCGGTAGAGGCCTTCCGAATGCTGAGACCTTTACCTTCTAAGCAGCCGCTGCTTCGGAAAGCATGGCTTGGGGCCTAAGTTCCTGAAATAAACAGATTTAGATGACATGCGCTGGCGTTGGTCAGGCTGCGCCTGTCGGATCAGGCAAGTCCTTTCTTCTTCGGAAGTGGGGCTGAGGCGGGTGTCCAGGACAATCTAGTGGAGGCGGGGCTGTCATGTTGATCTTCCCGAAAGCTAGGCTCCGCGGGCTGCCGGAGTTACCCAGTTAGTTGGATTCGTTGGGGGTTCAAGGTGGAGCCACGAGCAGAGCCAAACCCACGGTATGGAGGGGCCCGGGGGGAGCTACTGTGGGCAGCTACCCCGGTGTTCGTTTGAATGCTTGATTGCCTTCTGTAGCATGGCCTGGTTGGCTTGGGTCTAGAATCTAGAAGGTTCTATTATGTTCTATTCTTGAGGAACCACATGCACCGATCGAAACTGTGGCTTAGACTGTGTCTTTTCTGAAAGGACCATCGGCTGAGTGTCTTGGGGCCGGGGTGCTTTGCAAGTTTGAGACATTTTCGGACGAGTAGCTAGAGGCACCTCTTCGTGCTTAGGAGAGATTGGAATCCTGGCGGGCAGCACGGTGCTCGGACGCACTTGCCTTCGGGCCGGACTCCATTTCGTTTCTTCACTTCCTGAGCATGTTGCTGGCGGTGGCCCTACTGCTGCGAGATCGGTTCTTGCGCGAGTTGGGCCCTTTGGCAGGGCCGGGACTTCAGGATGACCGGATGTGGATGGTCGTCTTCTTGTTGCTCGGTGTCGTAGCTCCGCCTTTTCAGGGCCGCCGGCCGAGCAGGGGACCAATCCTTGCTCCCAGTCGCTGTTTGGTCAAGCTGGGTCTGGACGACAAGCATCAGGCAGATGCAGGAACGTACTGGGGGTCACTGTCTTTTTGAGTTGCGGGCAGAATGTTTAGCAAGTCTTGAGTAGGATAAGTAGGGCAGTGCGTGGCTTGATCCAAGCACGGTTGTCTTTTGTCGTTGTTCTCGCGTGCCGTGTCGGGTATCAGTTTTTGTTTCGCTAAGGCTTCGTTAGCTTTGCTGATCAATGGAAGTATCAAACCTTCCTCTTTGGAGCTCGCGGCTTGTGTTGTTCGTCTTCCACCGGATGTTCGGCACAGATGCGGCTGTGTTGGCTTTCGAGGCAACATCGGCATCCCCGCAATCTGCTTCGACTTCGCGATCGCCGCCTCCGCCTCATCAGCAGGACCGCCGCTCGCACCGCCGTTCGCAGTGTTGCTCTATGCCGTGCCCCAGTGTAGGTGTGGGCTTGTGTTTTTGTCCAGGGCTTTGTGATCGCGGCTCGGCTGCTATGGGGTAATATTCTGATTCAGATGATTCGGGCCCACCTGGGCTTATGGATGGTTGTGTTCATTGACGCAACCTGCGACTCCGTGTACGAACACCACCCTGCCCCAATTTGCAGGTCAAAGTGCCGGCTAGCCCTCTTAGTCTGTTACGGCACGGGGAGCCGAGAGCTGTGCCTGTTAGCGGTGCTGAACGTGCATTCTGCAGGTCTACTGCTGCGCGGCTCATGCTCCAGCTTTTTGCGTGTTTGGGTTGCCCCGGGGTTGCCCTTCAAAATTAGAGTCATGACTTCGGCTGCCGTGCTCTGACTGAGACTCATGCTGCCAACAGCGGTTTTGGCTTGGCCATCGCTCGGGTTAAGCCTAAGCTGGTCACGTTCATGAAATATGTGTTGAAGATGGAGTCGCTCCAGGATGGGCGCTTGGGAGGCCGAGCTGAGTACCAAAGTTCTCAAGTCTCAAGCTGGCGCGGCCCAGGACGCGAGCGTCACCGAGGCCATGACCATTCAGTTGGCCAGGGTTTGGATGGCGTGGCAGTCAGCTGCGAAACTTCAGGATGTTGCTGAGACACAACCATCCGCGTCGAGTTCAGCGGACGATCCTTTGCCTGAGAGGGCACGGCAGCTTTTGGACCGCTGCAGGAGAACCATCCTGACTTTGCGCTCGACCCTGCGATGATGGGGGCCTCTGCCATTATCCACCGCCTCTATCGTCGAGAGTGGATCCAAGGCCAACTGGTGGACCTTCAGAAGATGCGGACTGCGCTGGCAAAGCGAGGGCATTAAGACTGTGGAGCCGGTGCCCCGAGCAGGTATAGTGCCGAGCTCCGCGGATCATCCCATGCACCTGTGGCAGATGCTCCAAGCGTGCAGCGGAGACATCGGAGGGTGCAGAGGCCGCCGCAGCTCCTGCGAAGGACATACCTCGTGACGGGGTACGAGCTACGACTGTATGTGCTAGTGTCGCCGATCTCCCCCACCGAAACCATCGCAGGTGTTTCGGCTAGAAAATGGTTTCTACTCGCTATCGTTCGCTCGTCAGTGATAGTGTGTGTACATGTCAGAGCGAGCAAGAGAGATAGCTTGACGTGGAATGGCTATGGACCCTGTGAATATCCGTGGCCATTTGTATAAAGTCCGCCTCTTCAAGGGGGGTGATTTGCCGAAGAGGTCATACTGAGACCACCGGGGCTAGCGGCTAGCAGGAGGATCAAGGAGCTGCCCGTCTGCGTCTCGGAGAATTCGCGCCGAGGATAAGCAGTGGCTGGGCGAAGGCTTCAATCTTCTGGAGAGCTACGCTGGCTACAAGCGGGATTATCTCATGCCCCGGCTGAAGGAGACGGGCCACTGGGCGATTGGCTGATGGAGAGGGCTCCCAGCAGGCTGCCGCACAGGTCCCACGACCACATAATAGAGAGCCAGGAGCCAACCAATGACAGCCCGAGCCCATCCACGGCTAGCCCCAGCCGGGGTTGGCACAATATCAGGGCTAGATCGCCATGGGAGAACCTGCATGAGGCCGATGCGTTAACCGAGGGGTCGGCCGATCTGCGATATCTCCTGACGCAGCACTGTGGAGGATAACGCCCAGGATATTCTTTGCAAGTCGAGGATTGACACGGTGGCTACGGCTAGCTTCACGAACGAAGACGATCTGAAAACAGTCTTGGCTGAGGATTTTTCGATCGATCCGGAGTTTCGTGGTTGCCTGGCAGACAGCACAGGCGAGAGCCAAAACCAGTCCGAGCTAGAAGCGGCTAATGAGTTGAGGGAGTGGGCAAAGCCCATCCCGAAGACCGATTACATGGCTGTGAGAGCGGCCTTTTTCGGCGAAATTTGGAGAGCCTGAGGATAAACACGAGTGCCGGCTAAAAGATATATCGAAAGGAAATTCCACGAGCTGGAGATCGGAGAGTTTCGAGCCGCGAGCCGAGCTTCTGAATGAGGTGCTGTCCCGTGACGAGATAGATCGGGAGACTCTCGCTCCACAGTGGGATAGCAAAGGCACCGTCGTCCTGAACAAGGCTACCTCCAAAGGAGGCTATGCCGGCAAATCCAGAGCAATGCTAACGGTGATGCAGAGTGCTCTCCTCATGATTGGGCTACATCACCCTAGCCGGATAGAGCTCAAAGGCACGACCCAGCAGCTATTCGAGAAGTCGGAGATTACTGCTACGGGCTAAGATCCAGCGAGGCTAGTGGATCGCTAGCCCCTCGCTGGTCCTGAGTTCGCCCGGATAGCAAGGGCACTGGCAAAGGGCGAGATGGCAAGGGCCAGAAGGGAGACGGCAGCAGCAATAAGCAGAAAACTGGCAAGGCTAAACAAGGCCCCAAGCATGCCTGCACGAAGTGCCTTGGAGATCATTTGGCTACCAAGTGCACCTGGAAGGCTCGCGGAGCAGTGGGGGTAGGGCCGCTGCCGCGAAGGCAGCCCGCGGCGAGGCCAGCTTCACAACTCCTGGCTAGACCCGAGGCCTAGCCGCCGAAGCTCTGCGAGTGGCTAGCCCAACTAGGGCAACGCAGCCGAGTCAAGCGTCAAAGAGTGCGGTCTTGATCATCTGCTGCCGCCAGGTTTCAGCAAACAGGGTTTCTTTCCAAATTCAGGTGGCAATCTCTCTGCGCTCCCCTTTTGAAGTAGGGAGCGCAGTTGATCCCAGCTTGGACTTCGCTGCTTGGGCACTGGGGGTTTGGGGGCCTTTGCTACCGCGGTGGCAGGAGACCACTCAGCAATGCTTTTCTGTGGAGGAGTTCCTGAATTAGCTGGTCTGTCTACGAGATCCCCTTTGGTCTTGGCGGTTCCACGGTCTTGCTTGACCGGATGTGACCCAGCCTCTTCGGTACCTCACCGGTTTTGCGGCTGTAGGCTCTATCCAGCCGACGGGCATCTTTCGGGAGATTCCGCATGCGGAGCATCTTCTTCAAGAGGATTTCTTGGGTCAAGCAGTTCAGGACATCATTCAGGATTCGATCCATCGCACGCCCTCCCCGGATGCTCCTGCAATTTGGGAGGTTGCGCAAGAGGAGTGTTCCCAGCGATGGTGTCCAGGATGCTGTCGAAACAGCGGCTGAAACTTGTCAGCTTTGTCCAGCTCAGTCGTCCAAGCTTCGAGGCCAGGAAGGCTGCACAGTGTCGCGTCCGCATGGCGAATGTGGTTGGTTGGCCTTGCCCTTTCTGAAGCAGCGCGGGTACTCAAAGGATGGTGACCGTACTTTTTTGCATGATCAGTTGCGTGAGTTGCGGTTCCTATCAGGCTCGTTACGGTTTTGAATGTGGCAAAGTGCGGCTGGGTCGTGTTCTCCCCAAAGGCCAGCTGCAGGTCAAACTATCATTGTTCTTCCTGAGTGGACTGCGTCTTGGGAGCCTCGCGAGACTCCTAATCGTTGCAGCCGAAGCTTTCTGCTCCGTGCTGGTAATTACCTTGCAATCTGCCGCACGTCTTCCGGGGCCAGGATGTGATTTTCTTCATGAACAATGAAGGAACAGCAGCTATCACTCGATGGAGTAGTGAATCAGCCGATGTTGATTCTACCGTTCTGCTTTCAGCTCGTCTGCTTGTGGACCGATTCGGACTCAAATCCTTCCGCGGCTTATCCACGATGCTTTTACTGATGCTTGGACTATTGATTCAGGGATGGAAGCTCTCCGCCGTAGCTCGTCTTCCCAGCCCAGCCATTCACGAAACATTGGGAACGCAAAGGTTTGCTTTCGACAGTCAAAGTTGCGTTGCATGTGACATGCAAATTCCTACCAATGTACACCCTAAGTGTATCATTGCGTCGACTGAGTTTCGTGCTCCTTGTCATAGAAAAGATCTCGTGCACGCATTGCTGTGTGCCATAAAGAACTGATTGCCGTCTGTAGCACCGCCTGTTTGGTTTGGGTTCGGGTTTAGAGTTTAGAAGTCCAGAAGGTTGTATTCTTGAGGCACCACGTGCATCGATCGAAGCTGTGGCTTAAGCTGTGTCTCTTCTGGAAGAATTACTCCTGGTGTTTTGCAGAAATCCGGAGGGCCCTTTTTGTGAGGGCCCTGCGCAGGCTTGTTTTGCAGCCTCCTGCACAGAAATCCGGAGGGCCCTTTTTGTGAGGGCCCTGCGCAGGCTTGTTTTGCAGCCTCCTGCATTCTGGCTCCAAAGAGGAAAATAATGGCAGCTCACACCAGCCGTGCATTGACTCTGTATCCTGTATGGGTTATTGGGGTTACTGCTTGCTACAGTGTGGTCGTGTGGAAGTGCCTGTGGTGTCTTGACAGCAATACTATGTAAGGGAACGGCGTACCACAACGACGAATTTTAGCGACTATCCTACGCTTGATGAAATGCCGAACAGAATGCGGTTCTGTGGATAGGTTTAACCTCTGTTGAGGTTTGGTACGGCGTTGGTTGCATGTTAAACAACCGTTTCGGAGGCAGGGACAGGCTTTCCGGCTCAAGCCCTTTGATCGCGGTTGGTGACTTTGGTTAATAGGAGGCCTTCATGCCCATGCTACACCATACTGAGCGTCAACATTCTTGATCAGCCAGTTGGGGCAAAGCAAGAGTCAGGATGTCCGGTCCATAAAGAACAGCGGGGACTGTAGCGACGTACTAGATGCGAATTTTTGGTGTTTTTGGGTAGCGTGCTGTTCCATCCTGAGATCAGGGTTCGAAAAGCCTCCTGGGTCAGTCCAAGTTTGCGGTAGAAGTGGTGTGGAATGGTATTTTTCCAAAAGCTTATGCGCGGTGTGGTGCGCTGGGAGTTTGTGGCTTTCGAGATTGAGTAGGAGATGTTCAAGGTCCGATGCTACTTATCCGTCGTGCCTTCTTAAGTTCAAAATTTTGTGTGCTTCCGTCGGGGTCGCAGCAACAACTCTGGTTTTAGCTGTTGTCTTTGCTTGTGGGCCATAGCTCAAGTTCACAACGTCATTGAGACAACCGGTGATTGAATTTGCAACCGTCAACATGTTTTGTGCGTTGCGTTCTCGTTGGACTGCTTAACATGCTCCTTTGATGTTGTAGTCCATGCATGATGCTGAACCGCTTCGTACACTTAACCGCTAGTCGCCGCGCTGAAGCATCGCCCTTGCACATGCAGGCCACCAAGAGGTGAAACATGGTGAAACACTTCAGTCACAGTATCAGTTTGCTCTGCTATCGTCTCGTGGTGCTTGTGATCGTGTTGGTATGGCGGTGGCCTGACCATGTCGATCCTAGTTGAGTGTCGGTATCGGTTTCTGCAGATTCTCTTTACGGCGGAGTTTTTGCAGATTTTTGCAGGTGGTACGCCGGAACCCTGCGGCAGCCTCACGGCTCCTGTACACCACGGCCTTGTTCAGCCAGCTGCTCGAAATCGGCATGGCCAACAACTCGCATGGAGCGCTGCCTTGCTGACCTTGAGGCTCTGCTGGTAATGCCGTCTCTGCTGGCAGCTGCTTTGCCATACCCCGAGTGTCAGCAAAAGGCATTCGTTTTGTCCAACAGCACACCTGACACAAGGTGTTCCTGTGGATTCACTGGCAACTTTGTGCCACGTGTGATCGTCCTCTGAGGCGCGGGTGGGCAGAGCATGGCAGATTGAGCTTCCAGTAATTTCCAGTCACAGACAAAGCAAGAAACGTAGCTGGATTCAGGTGGTGGCTTCTTCTGCAAGCCTGCATACAACTTGTGCAGATGTGTCGAACTCAATTTTCAAGAGTTTGATCGGTTTCATTGTGCTTCGAATGTGGGAAGTTCTAGTTGCATCTCGAACCCAGGCCCGTCCGTATGGCGCTGCTCTACTGCATGTGCCAGGTGGAGGCACATTCTTGTGCTTGTCCAAGCACAACTGAAAGAAAGAAGTCGAAGTGGTTTCCTTCGGACCATTTTGTTGTCCTTGTTCGATACCAGCACGCAGCTCGCCTGCGCACGTGTCGCATAGGCTCCCAGCCTGTAGCGGCGCAGAACTAGACTGCGGTCCGTTAATCACGGACGCAAAGTGCTCACAGCTGCGCATGTGTCAATTGTGTGGAGTCGCGTGCGTGCGTGCGTGCGTGCGT